AAAAAAAAAAAAAAAAAAAAAAAAAAAAAAAAAAAAAAAAAAAAAAAAAAAAAAAAAGAATTTATATGGGTCATTAAAAGAAGTGCTGGGAAACAGAGCACTATGCTAACCTATGGACTGTTTTGTTTTGTTTTGTTTTGTTTTTTTGAGTAGAAAAGAAAGGTTATCACTCAGAAAATCTGAAATTAGAATTCTGTAAGGTTGACTAATGAAACATTCATTTTGGAATGTTTTATACAAAACATGTAAGAATTAGTTGACAACATATTCCTTTACGCTGGTTTCTTTGCCTCTGCTGAGATTAGACTAAGGCACAAAACTTCTCATATCCTGTGACTATACTTTCATTACCATCATTAATCAGTCAACAAAATATATTTCTTCTTGTCTAACATTTTCAAATGCAAAGTAGTTCCTATTAGTGTTATCTTTCTCTTCCCATTGGCTTAATCATTCTCAAAAATTCTCTAGTTACCCACAAAATTCCATCGCTCTAGGCAGATTCTCTATATACTTTCACCACTTTCCATCTCTATTCTACTTCCCTGTCATTTTCCTTAAAAGTTATTCTTCCCTTTGAGACCTTTGCCTCCCTTTTCCCTACCAGTTTCATCAAGGTCTGCAGAAGTGGTAAGCTGAGTGGCAGATATCTCCCCACTGCTAAGACTCGAAAGATCAAGGCAACGTTTTGGGGTTCCTCTGTTGAGACATAAAAGTACATCGAAATTCCCATTAGATTGTTATATCTTTAAAAGTCAAAAATCATGTCATACTCTTCATTTATTTATTTTTTATTGTTTGAGACGGAGTCTTGCTCTGTCACCCAGGCTGGTGTACAGTGGCACGATCTCAGCTCACTGCAACCTCCGCCTCCCGGGTTCAACTGATTCTCCTCTCTCAGCCTCCTGAATACCTGAGATCACAGGTGCCCAACACCACACCCAGCTAATTTTTGTATTTTGAGTAGAGATGGGGCTTCTCCATGTTGGCCAGGCTGGTCTCGAACTCCTGACCTCAGGTGATCTGCCCGCCTAGGCCTCCCAAAGTGCTGGGATTACAGGCATGAGCCACCATGCCTGGCCAATCCTCTTCACTTGAAAGATCCCTTTTTTTTTTTTTTTTTTGAGACAGAGTTTTGTTCTGTCGCCAGGCTGAAGTACAGTGGCGCAATCTCGGCTCACTGCAATCTCCGCCTCCTGGGTTCAAGCAATTCTCCTGCCTCAGCCTCCCTAGTAGCTGGGACTACAGGTAGACGCCACCACGGCCAGCTAATTTTTGTATTTTTTAGTAGAGATGGGGTTTCACCATGTTGGCCAGGATGGTCTCGATCTCCTGACCTCGAGATCTGCCCACCTCGGCCTCCCAAAGTGCTGGGATTACAGGCGTGAGCCACTGCGCCCAGCCAAAATATCCCTTAATGGCTATGAGATCATCTGAACAGTGTCTAAACAAATCTAATTGCTTTTGAAAATATCTCAGACTGGGCTGAGAAAAATCTCCCACTACTATAATGTATACCTCATTTTCTCCTTACCAACATACTGAAACAGATATAGTTTTTTTGTTTTTTTT